TATGCAAGATAATTTTTAGTCGTACTGTGTACTTGCTACATTCCCAGACAATTCACCGGCATCGTCAGTGAGCCTTGCCACCCTTTCGACTACACTACAACTCGTCAAAGAGACAAGTGAAGTCTATCCCTTGACCAATTGTCTGTCAAACACTTGTGGTGCCTCTCCTGTCCTGGTGAATTCAACTTTCCTATATCCTCTTAACACCCCTTTACTATCACATTTCATTATTTGCTTATATAAACCTAGTTAAGGTGTGCCCTTTTGAGCCGATCTAATGAGACCTATTCACACTTCTCGCTGGTTCTCACGTCCTCGCCTTTTGTGCTGATAGCGTTGATCCAAGGCTGCAGTTTAGTCCGTAATTCTCTTCCTCCAAGTCCTATCAAAGTCTCCCACTTACTCCGTAAGATCCGTCCCTTATCCGCCTGGTTCAGTGATTTCACACGATCGCAGCCACTCGTCTCTTTGACGAGTTGTGGTCTGGTGTTAAGTATAGCAATGCTCTCTCACGGTGCCGAATGCGATACTGGCTAAACGTGTGGGAATATACTAAGTCTATGGTCGAAATCTGGAAATTATTATGCATACTATCGACTCCGGACTGTGTGCGTTCATCTAGGTCAAACTGGCAATACGACAAGTTGCGAAAACAAGATTAAATAACATCTAAGTAACTATTTCTGTCACTTTATTCTTAGCTATGAAAAAATACAACAACTATCATTAATTTAAAACAGCTGGGTTCGATTTTATTCTAATGGCCTTCAATAATAACAAAAAAAAATTGAAAATTTTTGACTCTAAAAGTGAAATATAAGGATTCATATTATGTTTAACTCAAAATTAAGGCATTAAAAACTTAAAATAACTTTAACTCCAAATAATTATAAAATTATAATACTTATACTATAGCAACTTTTAAAATAAGTTTAAACTCTTTATCACCAAATTAAATGTAAATATAATTCATAAAAATAGTTTTAAAAATGTATCTTATAATTAAGTAAAGGCTCTATTTTATGGTTATAGCTGAGCTAAACGGAAGCTAGATTAGTCTTCCCTAAGAAGTTTATTTAAAGATGAAATTTTATAAAATATTTTAACATATTTAATTCTAGAGTATAATAATATTTATGACCTGGAGAATCACGTATTGGAATAAAATTGTTTTTCTCTCCAAATAACCTTGTTTATTTAGGCTTCGTTCATAATAAGGAGGCAAAATTTACTAATACTTCAAGGTAAGCTTGATTAAAATGGTACCGTATATTAGAAATAAAGATTTATTGTTTCATCCCCTACGAAAGATGTAAAAAAATAAAATGCTTTGATAAAGTTCAGAACCCTTGAAAAGTTATGAGAAAGATACACTACATAACTATTTTTGGTAACCGTGACCATACTAGCATATTATTATTTTAATATTGCTCTTATAAATTGCTTAAAATTTTAAAAAAACTTTGGGCTGAAATCCTTTACCTGTTTCTACTCTACGTTAGGTTGTGATGTTAAATGACAATATGGAGCAATGGATAATCGCACAGGCGGGTGGACGACAATTGCGAACTGTGCATGTGGAGGAACGAAAACTGACGCCGGCTAAGTCGTCCTTTTCCACCTCTTCACGAGTCCGGGATCGTTCGCGTCGTGAACGCCGTGACAGAGAACGAGACAAGGAGCGCGAGGCACATGTATGACAACTCGCCATGTCCTAGGATCTCCCGCATTCCAGACAAATGGTGTCATCTGTACTGTAGAGACGGGTCTGATATTTAGAACTCACCCAGGATACCTTGTACCTTATTAAGTTAGATTAAAAATAAGCAAAATGATATATACTTAGACATATAGCTGTAAGGGTGGATAGGGATGTAAACAGATGAAGGATAAAAACAAAACGTGGTTTATAGACGGATAAACTCAAAGGCAAAAAGATATAAAAGAGGATAAGCAGACACACACGCATATATAAATATCTACTAATCTGCATAATAACTTACATACGGACAAATAAACAAATTAATGGAATGTCACAAAGGCATGTACACAAAAATGTTGTCTGATATTCAAAACAAATATAGATATGAACATAGCAGGCTAAAATTACAATTAAATACAAATATATAGAATGAAAAATTTAATATCAACTTCTTTACCATTAATCTTAGTCAATCTATCGGCCGGAGGAAAAGCAAATCCTTAGCCTATTCTGACGTTTTTTTATAAATTAAATATAAACTAATATGTATTGCAACTAGGCCCGAATCACCATAAACCTGCATACCGTATGCTGGCTTTCGATAGCGTCTTCTTGTATACAAATGTTTATATAACTATTAGTAACTTGTTTTGTATTTTCTTTCTTATTTCTTATTTTATCTTATCCATGTTTGCATAAGAGTGTAAATTCTTTATATTTAATAGGGCAATCACACCACTATAAACTTTTCATTCGACATAACACATAGATATGAAGATACCTTGCAGGTCACATGCAAAGATTCTTTCTTGATGAATAAATTCTACTAAAAATAGATATGCTGTATTAATTGTTTTACCATTGTTTTACCGAGTTTTTAATGATGATTAGTAGAAAAAATAAAACTCTTTGCTTTTGGGATAAAATTAATTATTTCTATAGACATATTTTATTGGTCTATTTTCATTTTGAAAGGGAAAGTTGGTAGCTGAGCATTTTGGCCCTGTCAAGCATATTAAAGCCAGAAAAATATAGAATCCGATTTCCTTAAAGATTATTTAGAGAATATTAAAAAATGCATAGAAAAATATCTTTTTTTAAAGTTCTATGCTTTAATCTTTACATCTTGGTTTAACAAAGTATGTTATAAAGCCATTACAAAAATGTGTACATGCTAATGGATGAGCCTTCACAGAATCACCATATTATTGCAATTTAACCTCGACAGAAATGCGGCTAAAGTATATGAAAAGGATTAATTAATGAGTATAAGTTAATATATTATTTTCACAATTATCACTTTTTATCAAGTCTTTCCATTTTATAGAACTCAATTCTGTATACATATAATTAGGATAATTGATAAGAGGTCAGTTTTAGGTCAGTTATTACTATGTTTTACTGAAAGTTGTAAAGGCCGAAAGATACACGATTAATGCTCTCAAGAGTTGGGCGCATAAAAGTTTTTGTTTTCATGATCTTAATGTTTTTCTAGGTTAGGCATGTCTAACTATTTCACAAAATATCAACTCCTTAGAATCCTATCAAACATAATATGCTGTCATATCAATCTTATATTTATTTTCTGTACGGAAATGGTTGCGCGCTAAGTCCATAGCAAAGAAAAACATACCATTACCAAATAAAAGCTGCAGTTTATTTCCACTAAATAAATCCAAATCCTTATTCCTCAGAACGATAAGCGCTTAACTGAATAAAACTTTAATTCCTCAGTTTGCTTACGACAAATGGGGCAGATTTAGTTTATCTTGTCACTGATTTAGCAGATAATATGTTCTGTACTCAAACTCTATCTGCTGACCATATATGTGTTATAGACTCTCCTTTGTACACTAGAATAAGATAATGGCCTGGGCGCATAATCATGAGAGAGGAACTGTCACTAAATCTTATTTTAACTGTTGCTCAAATGATGCTCTAATTGGTCGAATATTTTCACCATTACGCATTAGTTTAAAGAAAGCTACAGTTTAGATCCTAGTTTATCTAAAGCTTAGCCTACAAATTAAGATAGGCCTAATGTGACGGAAATCATCAAAGCAGGGCAACATTCTTTAAACCATATCCAAACCAACGAGTTAAGAAGCTGTACGTCCAGAAGCAGATACCTTATCACCTTTACCTCTTGCTTATACTATAACCTATGCCATATGATCCTAACATTTTTAAGCTACGCCTTAAACATGGTATGCAATTAAAAGTAGTGAATGATGCTAGTATAGATTAAATAAATAGTTTTCAAGGCTGTCAGTAATTGTTGAGTAAGAGCTTAGTCACCATAGATCGCTTAAGGAAATTTAAGGACTGATAATTGAATTTTCCAACAATCAGATAAGTAGGCTTCACGAGGCCATTGAATTTCCCTCAATGTTGCTTCTCAAAAGGCGTCTCATCCAGAATGTACTGCAGTTTCTACCTCACCTGAGTGTCATTAGCACCCCAGCAGAATTCGATGCCGGATGGTGAGGAGCGTGGCAATGCCACCACTTTACTCCACTAATCAACCACTGGTTCCAGTGGGTCACAGGGCAGATGCGATATCCAAGGCTATCTTACTATACAAAGAATAAAAAACTACTTCTACAGAAAGGGTAGGAAATCTCGGCTCAAGTAAATGGAAAAAATTAAAATAAATTTCTTATTCAACCACCTTATTTCAAGTAATATCTAGTCACAATGCAAAATTAGAATTTAACTTCATTGTCGTGATCAAGACTTCTCCCCACTTCAGAATAAGCTAATAGGCCTTTGAACGCCAAAGTGATAGGCATTTCCTTACAGTCGCAGAGATTCTTTGCGGCTCGTTAATGAAATTGTGGTTTTTTATAAAAATTATTATTTTATTTTACCGTCACAGATCTTCACTAAAACTAGGAGCCGAGAAATATGTCTATTAATGAAACATATGGTCCTCACTAGCTTGCTACCTAATGGTGTTAATGAGTGGCTATATGTTGCCTCTAGGCGTACACCTTTCGTTTCATCTATTGTACTGCTATTGTATGGGTGAGATTGTAACGGACATACATACCGAATGAGGAAGTCCTTTGGGGGTATAAATTGCAGTAAGACTGTATGGCGAGCCAAGTTTGTTTTTCCCTCATGATAAGTGACTTAAATGGCCCACTTGATATATTATACTAAAGTTTTCGCCATCTCGGACTTACTGATAAATTCCAACAAGCCGTCATATACCGTACATTCTATAGTTAATGTAAAAATAACATCGGGTTGGGTTGGAAAGAAATGCTAATCTTTTGGCAAATTACAGCCTGCTGAGTGCTTCTCAAAAATATTTTCTTCGGAACATTTATGAGAGCATATTTAAAGCTTATATCTATATTAATTTTCGTGTTAGCAGTGAATTTGATGTAAACACTTATAAGTAACTGTTTATGGTCTCTTACTATGAAAAAAACGTAAAAGCAAATTCAATCTCAGATAAAAGATCATGCAATAAATCTTATGCTTAAAGGCATTTCCTGCTTCATCCCACTTAATGGTGACTATAGAGAGAGCCTACGAATGTCGATCTGCCCATATTGCAGATTTTCCTTATCACTCTAAATGGAAAGTGGAAAAAATATAAGGAGATATTATGAAATCGAACTTGTATCTTTTATCAATACACCAGAAGGACTTAATTATTTTGATTGCTCCCATAATTGAAATAGGAATAAGAAATATAATATTGGGCTTACACTCGGTGTATAAGATGTATTCACCCTATTTCGTTTAAGGTGATGAATGACTAGTAGCAGAATGATATGAGTAGAGCTGATGTTTCCATTGGATTTAGCATAGCCTTGCTTTCCCAAAAGTTGCTCTCATCCAAACCCCAGTGGATTGAGGTTTTGACCTCGCATCGGTCTTTTCAATAACTCCAGCGGGACTCGAACCATGACAGTGCAGAATAGGAGCTTGACACGGTAACCACTCGGCCACATTGCCACGAGTGCCCTTGGGTCACAGGGCAGATGTGAATTTCAAGGAAGGCCAGGCATTTTTCCATATCATATTCTCTGGTGGGATTGTCGATAAAGCAAACCTATATTTGCTATAACAATCGACTAAGTTACTTATTTTTCGTATTTGAGTAGAGTTTAGAGACTACCAGTAATTAAGTAGTATGAGATGTATTCACCTTATTTCGTTTAAGGCGATGAAGGACTGCTAGTAGAATTTTCCCACAATGATATGAGTAGAGCTGACGTTTCCATTAAATTTCACATTGCCTTGCTTACCCAAAGTTTTCTCTCATCCAGGGTATACTGCTGTTTCTACCTTATTTAGGTCTAATCAGCACACCCAGCCGCACTCAAACCCAGCTTGTGGTAGTGCAGCGTATAGTTTGACACGCTAATGACTACGCCTCACTGCCACGAGTGTCCCAAGATCACAATGCAGAAGTAAATTTCAAGGAAGGCTCAGCTTTTGCCATATCACTTTCTCTGATGGGATTGTCAATAAAGCAAATTTTTATTTACTGTGGCACTCGAATACACTACTGCCCTCGTTTTATGTAGGATTCTGAGACTCTCAATTCAGCAGCGGCAAAATTGTAGTGGTATACAGTGTCGAAATGTTTCGTATTTTAATTTATTTGCTAACCATAAATAGACTATTAATTAGACAATTAGGGCAAAAGATTATGTGGAACTCTGTGGCAATGTTGTGTGGATTCTTGCAAATAATTAAATATAGTTAGCTGTAACTACTATTCAGGTTTATTCGAATATCAATTGACTAATAAACATAACGTAAAATAGTACCTCTTTTTTTCATTTTTTTCGATATGGTGGTGGATCTCACTGTGGGCTGCCAACCAGAATA